CCGTAGGGTTACTTTTTATGATTATTATTCATTTATATATTTGCTTTAGATTCGAATTGTTAGATGCATACATAAATGACATCTAGCTATAGACTGCACACATTGATGTACATAAAAACTGAGTCCCTGATGCTGAAATATTTGTTTACTTAACTATTACTACTGCATCTGACCGCTATTGTAAACCCATGGGTGTGGACACAAAGGGGGGGGGGGATTGGTTAATACGGCGGTTGTGTTGGGGGCTATTTCCTCCGAATAATGAGAATTAATATGTATATATATATAGGAAGAATCTCCTAGAAGAGATGAAAGTACTGAAGACTCGTTGTTGAGAATTTTTCTTTTTATAATATTTCTTCGTCCGTAAGGATCATTTTTCAGTTTATATAATATATATGTATATATATACTTATATATGAGTTTGGGTAACAATCAGGGTGAGCTTAATGATACAGGTCATATATACAGTAATCATAAAATCTGAAACCAAAATTGACTTTTTATTTTTAAGATCTAGTTCTCTCAAGATGTTTTAGTAAATTCTCTATAAAATAAAACTTAAATAAGAAATTTGAAGGTTTGTTTTGATGACTACCTATTACACTAGAAACTGTATTATACTTGTTACTAATCCTTTCACCCCTATATAACTTCAGTAGACTCTACCATGCATTGATCTGGATGAATCCATTATGGTCTACAGGGGAGAAAGGGCTAAGCTATTCAGACTTTGACATGGAGATCTGTATATAAAGACCTCCCTAGATAGATCTATTTTCTGTATTTTGATGTCTGGTATATTATTATGCCTTCTACGTTTTACTTCTTCATTGAATAAACATCAGCACTGCATGAAATGCTGTACAAAACGTAATCTTTTCCCCATTAAAATGTATACTAGACCATGTTTTATTGCTACAGTAGACATTCTTTAACCTTCATGTATGTAAAGATCTATTCTGATTGACATGACAACTTGACAAGCAATTTAATAAATGATTCGACCTGACTACATTTCTAACGACGTAATAAAAGCGATGTAATAAAAGCTTTCAAACTCCTTCATGATATCAGCCCTTTTTTTGCATCATTTTACTTCTAAAACCCTAACCTACAGACCTTAGAACTTAAGTAGCACCCTTATAACAACCCACTAGACCCTCATCTTCTCCCATAGAATATTAGCAGTTCCCACAGGACACAGAAGTTCTATATAGACCACATGGGGGGAATCTGTGCCACGCCCTTCTGGCTTAAATATATAATTTTAAAACTTGAAAAAGTGGAACACTGCTTAGTTGCTGACAAAACAAAGGGTAAACTAGAACAGTATCATATTTCTTTAAAATACATTACCCTATATTTTCTTTATTTGATATGTGACTGCAGGATTGTTAATTGTTGGGTTCAAAAACTGCAATTCAATCATTTTTAACAGAAACATTTTATGATTAATGAGAAAATGTGAGTTTACAACAAGCATTGTTAACTTAATAAAACTTAACAAAAATATAGAAACAATGCAAGTATTGATAGGAAACGGACACTGAGGAAATGTGAGTTTAAAACAGGCATTGTTAACTTAACATAACTACACAGTGCAATGAAAAAACAATTCAACTATTGATAGGAAGCGGACACTGAGGAAATGTGAGTTTAAAACAGGCATTGTTAACTTAACATAACTACACAGTGCAATGAAAAAACAATTCAACTATTGATATGAAGCTGACAATGCAGGAAATAAGTGAGTTTATAACAAGCATTGTCAACTTAACATTACGAAACAATTAAATGAAAATATCAACTATTGATAGTATAAGCTGACAAAGTTTTCTCCACCGACTACCAGATGTTGTATGCGAGATGATATTAGATAAAATTTCTAACACTGGAGATCAATGCTGTGTTTGTGATGTTAGTACACCGCCATAGTTTTGACAGAATACATTAAATCTACAGTAATATTTCACCATTATTCCCGAGTCACCTCCAAGCTGTTAAAGGTCAAGACAGATGATGGCATCTCGTGAAAGGACGACCGTTTGTTGCCCTTTTACGGTTTAAAATCATTTGGATTAATAGAGGGTGGAGTATTTCAAAGATCTAAATTGTTTTAGAATTAGAATAAATGTCAAAAGATTATTTCATAATAGTTGCCAACAAACGTCGAGCGAAATCAACAAATGATTTTTTGTCATGATTTCTGTTTAAGTTCAGAAATATCTTACTTCACAATAAGTAGCCATATAAACTATACTCTACACTTTGTTTCGACTTAAAATGTTTGGGTTATTGGTTTGATGTAGTGAACTGTCCCAATGAATTTGGACAATTCTTTCACTGCTAGTTCCAGAATATTTATAAGCAATTTTATTGTTTTATTGAAAAAAAAGTCAATAACAGCTGCCAAAACACTACTTGTCTTTAAAAAAATGACCTTTTCAGGCCACCTAGCTAGCCTACACCAACATAAACCCATTTGATTATTCAGTTGAGGTCTGTATATGAGTAACTACAATTCGAACACAATTTGGATCCCTGTCCGAAAGTGATTATTTTCCAGGACTCTAAATTCTGCAGAAATCTCAAATTTAAAATCCATTTTAATTTTCCTACTTTCATGTTGTTTTGGTGTTTTTATCTATAATTTCCACCCAGATTGTATACTTTTCATACCCAGATGATAAATGGCTTTGAAAAATGAGACACGGTATAAAATTGTACAGCTATATATTTACCAGCAAAAGTACATCTTGAGATGTTAATCAGAGCCGACACCTAATATGGGTTGTTTCTCTTTCCGACAAATAGAGGTCGTTTCGGAGGTTACTGAAATTGATTCTCCACATATATCTAATGAAACAGGATTCCCCATCAGGCTGTGTCCGACAGGAAAACAACACCCTGTCTGTCTAAGTACATGTAATATTGGGCTAATGTCTTTCTTAAACATGCTCCCTTTCATACAGAATATATGTCAGCTATATTTTGTAGAAAATTGCGGAAATGAGTTTCAGAATTGATTTTTAAGTTTTAAAAGAGCAATTATCAAGACCAAAATTTGTGAAGATACTCTGTACAAAAAGCACATTTTAGATTGTTTTGATGAGTTAAAAATCCTGTCCAAACAGGAATCTGTATAACTGAGCCCTGTATAATCTGGACCTTCAGCTCGGTCGCACTGTTTACAGATTTAGACAAACTGACCTTGTAATTTTTAAAACCTTACATGAAACCACAATAGTATTGGTTTTGATTGTTTTCACTGTATTTCTTTACATAAGATTGCAAAGTGCTGATTAAACTTTGAGCACACAACTTTAATTGTCTGTTAGACGTCATTGTCCTCAGGTATTTTTTTCATAAAAATGTCATCTCCATTCTTCTGTACACTTCATATTAGTGTAAAAAGGTCATTTCCTCCCAAACACATTGACTGATATATCTGATAAGCCTTCTCACCCCCTCTCCAGGAACACAGATAAATGATTACTTTCCCATCACCTTGCTAACCCTCGGCCACACCATAGTTTTTTGATAATTTAGGTCGTCCTGACCTTAATCATATGCACGACGGCAGACATTATCAAAGGAAAGGTAAAAGGTTTTACCAGGTAAGTATTAACAATCAGATTCCAGTATCTGACCCCCGGGGCAATGTGTTAGATTTGTTTACGATGTAGGAGGGAGATAGACAATTTCTACTAGCTTTTTATGACCACTGGCGGCAAAAAGCAATGATCCCACATTTTTCTTCCTACGCCACATCCTATTAAAATACAGTAGCTGGCTGGCCAACTATAAGATTATAACCGATTATCTTGGCTTTATTTAACAATCCTGAAAATTTCAACAAAGAATTCTATTCAGAATATTTCAAAATTTATTCTTTATTTCTGCTTGAATATCTTGTTGACTTAAAAAAAAATATTTGTAAAATTTCAATTTAAAAAATATAAATAAATATTTCTGAAAGGTGGTGCAAGCTTATTTTGTTTTATTATCAGGAGAATTCCTATTCTGCAACTTTAAATGCCATGTTTGTGGTGTTTCTTAAACCTAAATGGTAATTAAAGTCAACCCAGCTGTGCTGTTGTGTATCAGAAAACTGGGAAGAAAATCGCATCTATTGAAAGATTGAAAAAATCACGAAACAACAATTGGTGTTTTGACAGCCAATCAAACTCTTCAGAAGGTGATGATGGTCATTCTGTCGAGTGGACTTAACGCACTCAAGATACAGTTATCATACTTTCCGTCACTTCAGGGTCCTTCACTCCTGAGGGCTCTCGCTGGGTGTCACCAAGTGCATACCTGGTCCAATTTGACCTGTGTTTGAGGTCAACTTGCCAACAGGTATGACTTTATTAATAGATTAGGAGAGTTTATGACTAATGACCCTAGTCGGGCATGTCAGACTAAGTGAATGGTCAGTGTTTATCTACGAAATGATCATTGAACTCCTCGAGCATGTCCTCATCCCGTACTTCAGATACACCTATGGTCCTTTTGCGGAATCATAGAACAGCACTAGTTTGATTTTTTATCTATAAAACACAACTTGTAAGAGAGTGAAGTTCTTGAAAAAGTTCTTTTTAAATTTACAAAAGTTTTTTAAAATTTATGAAATATTTCCTAAAGACTTAATTCACTAATCTGACATTTATGGTAATCTAACAAAATATCTAGACCAGTACAATTCCTTCTGAAGCTAGCACCATGTTTATCGTATCTCTTGAACTTTATCCTAGACGATCAAGTCCACCCAGCTGTATCATAGAGTACCAGGAAACTGGGAAGTGAGATTGAAAAATAGGTGTCCGCTTAATATGACCAGCCAATGAACCACTGACAATGCCCAAGCTTTCTAGCCGTTAGCGTTCCATGAGCAGGCTTGGCTTTGAACGTGTGTAGCTTATATACAGTAAATTTTGATGACACAACACCTCCTAACTTTGTTAATTTTTAATCACGGAAAGGAAAATCCAACTTACCACCTCATGGTTGACTTGGGGAACACACGATGTCATCACCTGAAAAATACAAAGCAACAAAACATAAGAATTTCTCACTTCAAAAACAAAATAATGATTGAAAAAAAAAAAAAAAATCAAACTCAAATTTGTAGCAAACTCACATCAACATTTAATATTTGAAAAACAATTCACTTTACGATTTGTTTCGTTTGTGTGGTTCGTAAAAGGGGAGATAACCCATGCCCCTCCACTGTTTGAAGTACGGAGTGCTGTATTGTATACAAAGGCAAAGTTAGATCAAATATTACCACTACAAACATTTCAGGCACTGCTCCACTAGTTTACACAAGTGCGTAACATTCCTAACCCTTTTACTCCTGACTTGTTGACATTTCATTATTCCTTCCCAGGTTCTGTATGCTTGGCCTAGAGTACTAAGAAGGTATCTGCATTCACATTAAATGACGGTAAGCTTTCAAATTAACGAATAATTAAGAAGACTTAATCAAATCTAAAGATCACGTCCTGAACATCATCACCATGGTAACACACGCAAATCACATTTAAAAGTAGCTACAACCTTCAAATGGCTTCAAAGTCAAGGTACAATCAAGACTAAGATATTCTAATGTTGTATTGTTATCCGAAAAATTTATTGTTCTTAGTTCCTCCCCCAAATCACAAATCCTCCCTCCCACAAGCTACAGCCAGGAGACCCTTCTCTTCTGAAAATATTGGTTTTATCAATTTGATATTTCGTACTTGCAATCAAATTGAAACTATTGTGAGAGACTGTTTTTCATTGGCAGAACTTAAACGGGTTATAGTCCTGCAAAATCAAATTGCAACTTCTACTTTTTGTATAGAGCTACTGATTTCAAGTAAATATTCACAATATGTGGAAACATGATGCTGCTATTTTACGCAATGTTTGTTTTTAACAGGTGTTTTGTTACAGGGAATAGTGAACCGGAATATTCATGTCAATGCCAGTATGTCAGCTTCTGTAAATTACAATAAAGCCGAGGCAGAAAGTGACACCACAACTCTACACAACAAAATAACTTCACCCAATACTCAACAAGTGTAATAAAATAATCATATTATCAAAACACATTTTTTTCATATGCAATCTATTTAAAAAGGAATCTCGTATAAAATTCGTCGGCAAACAGACTGTATATTAATGTCATTTTTCCGCATACTAAACCTTGTTTTGTTACGAGATTTTTTTATTAGCATATGAAGAGGACCTTACCTTGTTCTAATATTTCCGTACACTGTAAAGACTTGTTACTTTATTACTTCAATAAATGCAGTCTAGAATCGTGTCGAGCTTTTTTTATCTGGATTTGTCAAAATTGTCTGCGTAAAGAAGATTTACTCTGCATTTCATGTCAGCTCAAAGGTCAACCTGTGTAATATGTGAAGGCGTTCTCTGCATATCAAGATGCTTATTTGGATTCTGATTTTTTACGACACTTGTATAATGTTCAAGCTACATGCATGCTAGTTGTTTTTAAAATGTAATGCAGATGTTTGCATTGATAGCAAAAAGTAGGTTGAATTCTATATTCAACGAAACTGTGAATTCTGAAAACAATTTGAACCACTTCATTCAAGGCAAGAACTTGTACCTATAAAATGTTCACTGTACTTCAATTTTTTGTTGTTGAATTTTATTTTTTATTTATTGTCAAAGCCTTATTAACCATACGTAATTAATATGACAAGCATGTGATACACCAGGATCAGCCAGCTCATTGTCAAGTCTGTTATCTGTTTCTTGTTCACTGGAGCTTTAATGTTACAAATTTCATGAGCTTCATAAGAAAAAATATTCCAGACTTCATATTTCCAAAAAAATATTCAAATTCACAACTGATGATCATGTGAATTTAAAAGTTTTTAAATTTGATTCTAACTTTTCTATACTTTACAACAATTATGAAACAAATTTTTTCCAACTAATATTTATCATTTTTGTTGGCAAAGATGGAAGTGCAAAGGATCTTAATGCGGGAGGAAACTGGAGTACCTGAAGAAAACCCCATACCACTTCGCAACGGTCCCTTGCCGTCAAAGTGAAAGGGAATTGCGCTATCCACTGCGCCACCTGACCACCCAAGCTGCCTATGCTTGGCAAAATGGATCATCCGAGTTTCAGAGTAACACTGGTCTTCATTCATTACATCAGCGTACAAATGATGCATCTATCATCCTTACACAAAGGAACTCAAAAAACTTCTCAACGCTCCAGCAAAAGCACAACGGTTATGATACCAGGTATGTCAATATTATTATACCTACCTACCTGCATAAGTGCTTTAATGAAATTTGTGACGCTCGTTATTTTTCTTGAAAGAAACTTATTAAAGAGTTTTGTAGCTCATGAAATCATCATAAATGTCATCATTAAACGCACATGAACAAGTCGGTGATAAATTTCTAGATACAGTCAATTATTCTCAAACGGTCCATAAAAGGCAATCACTTGGTATAAGGCTGCATTTCCTACATTTACAATGTATACAATATAGCTACACAGAATACCCAGAACAAAACAAGTAGCCATTAGTATGCAACACAGATTACAGTCAGTGAATTCAGCCATTATGCAGGAATGCAGTTTACAGTAAGTGAATTTCACTTGTTTTTTTGCTCCTTCACATTTTATTGCCTACAAAGCAGAGGAATTGAGCAAAAGCTTCATCGTAGACGCCCTGTTCCTCCTAAGATCTGCATTACATTCCAGACAATTCACTCTGAATACTTGAGTAATTCTCTCTCAACCAGGAAATGGCGCATGTTACATCCCCTCCAACGAAAGTACTCCAGCCCAACACCAGTTGACGGAAGAGTTCATTGTAGAAACTTAGGTAAGGCAGGCTTACTGTTAATGTATTCTACATGAAAACCCACTTGAAGAAGTGCTTATAGCAATAAAATTACAAACATTATAAAACACACACACTGGTTATGGTAGCTGTGGCCACTTGTGTGGCAAAAGATTGTCACATGGTCACATGATTATAAAACCATCCAGTATTGTGCCACCTCTACATACTGACCTCAGAATACCTGCATAAACAGGAAACCTGTCTAGGACAAACCACTCTTTTTCAAACGTTGAATGTTTATGTTAAGCGAGTATGAATTGTACATAGGATTACGGTTGCCTTAATTCTAGCTTCGTGCTGGAGGAAGTTTCCCTTTAGCTCAATTGGTACAGTGGCGGACTGGGACACTGGGGCTTGTGGGTTCGATCCCCGGTGGAAGCACAGTACAATTCTTCCTATTACAAAATATATAACAGAAAAAAACGGACAGCTCCCAAAGTCCTTCCCCTGAAAATACATTATGTCTGATGTTGCAATCAGCGGGATATCCAAACGGATTTGTTTGGATTTATTCTGAACTGGAATTGATATAGGTAGGCTTATTTGCAGACATAGGCTTCGTGATTGATAAACATGGGGTACATGACTTGATATAGTCTGTCTAATGACTTTAATTAAGACTCCTGTCTAGTAAGTAAATGTTAACTTGTTCCATGAAGCAAAAACCATGCCTTAAAAGCTATTTAATTGTAACCAAATAACCTCACCACCACAAAAAAAACAAAAAAACACCATCACACACAATTTACGATTTATCTAATATTTGGCAGATATAACTGTACATAGAAAATTGTCCCCTTCTAGCTTGGCACTAGAGGGTATTTCCCTTTAGATCCCCATCAATAGGTACCCTTCTAGCTTGGCACTAGAGGGTATTTCCCTTTAGATCCCCATCAATAGGTCCCCTTCTAGCTTCACACATTAGAGGGTATTTCCCTTTAGATCCCCATCAATAGGTCCCCTTCTAGATTGGCACTAGAGGGTATTTCCCTTTAGATCCCCATCAATAGGTCCCCTTCTAGCTTCACACTAGAGGGTATTTCCCTTTAGATTCCCATCAATAGGTCCCCTTCTAGCTTCGGAGTAGAGGGAATCTCCCTTTAGCTGCCCATCAATCGGTATCATAACCTAAGGTTTCACAATAAATGAAAATTATTTCTTCAGAGGCGTCAAACAGAAAACATCACAAATAAAGTCCTGTTCACGATAATGTCAGCACAGAATAAGGGGATAGGAAGAATGGGAGGATATGATAAGAAGGAGATCAAAAACATAGATGAAATGATGAAGTAAGGTTTCTGGTATGTGTGGAGATTCTGTATTGTGGTAAACACATGTCAAATTACAACACTGCATGTCTACCCAACCATCTGTAATGCCAGCACAGGCGCTAGTGTTCACAGCTGGACACCTAAACAAACTCACCATCTTGGATGTTTCTGTGTAGATAATCCGGCAAACGATTCAACAAAATGTCACTATTTTACATAACTATGAACGCACTCACAATAGTTAGAACTTCACATCCCGCGGAATCTCAAAGACGATGTCTAAAAACTCTCCCGAGTACAAATAAGTCCCGATCAAGAGTAAGTTGTAAGTGCACAGAATCTACAAGGACTAGAATAATCTTGTTAAATGCAGCTACAGAAGACAAATATCTCAGGTGAGAATGATATTCTGCATCACAGATGTCAAATCCAGGTGAAGTGAAATACTCCTGGCCACTGTAGAATGTATCTAATACACAGTGGGCTGTATAGTCAACAGCCAGTCGGCCTGTAGCTGCTATATATATATATACCACTGTGTCAGGGAAAGTTTGTATACAAGGATTATATATATATAAACATATAGCTCGTATTGGCAAGTATTTGTGGGGGCGAAACTTTGTTGCTGTCACTGAAATATAGACATTAACATTTACATATTTATGATTTAGAATGCGTCTAATACCTAATCTTGTTCTTCATAAATATTTACGTAGTTTGAATTCAGCATTTCTACGATGTTCATACACATTTCAAATTTAGTACTTTTCTTTACCCTTTTCATCCTGCACGCCCACAATTCCCTTTTCAAATACATTTGAGCCAGTCAAAGCTATTCCAGTCTTACTTTCTTACATCGTTAACCTAGCTCTTCTGGCTTTTAACC